TTAGACACGAAAATGTTATTTTGTAAACTTGTCTCATTCATATTCAACACACTAGTCACTAAAACTCCGCTATTGCAATTTTCTGATATCACCTGAGGTCCATAGATTAGTTTACGTCCGATCATGGCCACCTAGATGCAATTTTAAAAGTGACTCTGAAAAAATCAAGTAGGCTGAAAAACTTCCGGAAATGTCAGTTTCTGATCCAGAATTGTCTCAGAAATCCAAAAATGTTACAATATACAGGGTGTTCCATTTAAAAATTCAGAACCGGAGCCATTTCCGCTGAAACCGGAAGTGACCGGAAAGTGAAAAATATGTGAAAACTCTCCTCTCCACATACCATTCAACTATACCAAATCTCATTTCAATTCTCCTAATAGTCTAGAAATTATGACTTGTCTAATAGATTCGTTGACACCCGGTATAAGTATTTGTTTCGAATGAATTTTTTTCTTTCGTGTAATACATTGTTTATATGAAAGTAGCTGTTTCAGGAGGACTTTCTTTCAGTTTGTGTCTGAAAGTTACCTCTTTGCATAATCTACACATCCATGTATAGAGTTACTTATTTCAAAATTGATTACTTCCTTCCTTTCTTTGGAAGATTCCCTCATCCTTGTTTTTTGTATCAAGATGGAGTAGTAGAAAGCTAAAAACTTTCTTTCCCAAAAATAGATATTTTCATTTCTCTTTTCATTCGATAATAATTGTTTCCACATTTTTGGCACCAATTTCTGATAACCCAAAGATGCGATAAAGTGATTATTTGTATGAAAAAGAACGTACAACTCTCCACTTACTGGGGAATTTGGTGAAATTGGTGAAATTCTGAATAGAGATTTTGGACATTTTCTTTTGTTTTTGCTCTTCGAACAAGCCGGTTTTTTGTCTCCACTCACAGTTACCTTCTTTGGAAAGAAATTCAAGCATTGTGACAGTTTTCATCAGTATTCTATGGTTTGGATGAAGACAAATCATATAATTGATCGAAGGTTACCGATGAGTGTACACAGTCCACAGAGTAGATTTTAACTGACCGATGAAATTACCTAAAATATTCTCTTTCCAGCTGGTAGATCGCCATGCACAAACCCAAATTTGAATAGCACTGCATATTACCTTGAACATGAAATTAACCGAACGGTAATATGTAAATACCAGTACAGATACAACACTAATTTGAAATTACTGTGGAATCTCTTTTATCCCTCTCAAGTAGACTTCAACCCTGCCACTGGTTCAAAATCAGCCCGTATGAATCTCACAGTGAAACTTCGTAGTAAATTCAGGGAGAACAATTTCTTACAAGACAAAGAAACTCTCGGACCTTCAGTTTCGGCATAAGCCCAGGCGATTAAAATGGCTTTCCAGATGTGCCTAGGTAAACAATTTCTCCCTGGATTAGCCAAGGTGCACGGCTTCGGATATATGAAGTCATTATAAGTTGTTTGCATTTCAAGTTTGACGATGAAACTTTTGACGGAAGACTTGAGTACAGTTGTGGACTCTATCGTGAACAATGGTGCTGAATACAATTGTTGATGAACACAAGCTCATTGATATAGGGTTGCTCAACGATTATTATCCAACTACGTTCTTTTTTTATATGGGTTTTGATGTTCAACTATTCATTATCAGAAGTTTATGTATCTGTTGTCGATTCATCCACACCTGACAGATGAATTCATCTAGATATTGGTTATCAAACAACTGTGCTGTAATATTAGCGCACCTACCAATTTCATAATGATGTTGAACTATCGATTGTGTTTCTTGACTTGAATAAATAATTCTGAGAAGAAAAGTGACCCGAAAATTTGAGTGCTTTCAAATTTGCTACACGAATTAGCAACTCAGGTACCTTACACCAACATGGTGTAAGGAATACTTACTGTCTATCAATCCCAAGAAGACTAAGATAGCCCTTTTCACCAAGGAAAAAGTTTATTGGGCTTAAAACCTCCCGAAATCTTTAAAAGCAAACTAAACTTCTCTGAAGAGGTGAAATATCTTGGTACTATACTCGACAGGAAGCTAACATGGAACTCTCGCCTACAGAGTAGAGCAAAAAGAGCATATGTGGCTTATGAGCAATGTCGGAGGACAGTGGAAAGCGTATGGGGTCTTTCACCCCGTGTGGTCACCTGAGAACAGAGAACAGAGAACAGAGAGCCATGAGAACAACACCAACCGCGGTAATGGAATTAATTACGGATCTGACCCCCTTGGACCTGTACGTTAAGGAAGTTGCGTTAATGGCCATGGTACGATTGCGCACGGCTGGTGTGAACTTCAAAGTAGGAATGGATCAATTGAGGCTGAGTCTATGGCGAGAGGCTCTTACTGCACAAACTCCTCTGCAATTGAACCAAGGTTTGTGTTTAATAAACCTTTTAAAATACAAATAAAACAGAACATAGAGTCAGATGCTACAAATGCGCATATATACAGACGGCTCAAAAATCAAAGAAGGCTGAAAATGTGGAGTGTACTCCAGATCACTAAGCCTAAGGATTAAGTGGGGAATGGGAAACATACCAGCGTAGTCCAAACAGAACAGGATGGTATCTCAATCGCCACAAAAGAAATGACCAGAAAAAAAATTCTGGCAAAAACATAACAATTTGCATTAACAGCAGACAAGCACTATTAGCCTTGAACAGACCATGTGTAACCTCAGGGCTAGTACTAGAGTGCCACCAAGATTTAGCCAAAGCCTCGGTAAATAATAACATCATCCTGAGGTGGGTTGAAGGGCACGACAGAAGTGAAGGTAATCGTATTGCCGACTCTTCAGCCAAGAAAGCGGCTGGTCTAAAAATTATAGGTCCTAGTGGCACCTTTTACCAGTTACACCAATGATCAATCCCTGGAGAGATGGGATGGAATCAAAGAATGCAATGTTGCCAGGATCAACTTGGACGACCCTAGGAAGCTTGTGCCGAAGAAATTTCTGGCGATGACCAGCAAAAATGTACGCCTAACAGTAGGATTTCTGACTGGCCACTGTTACCTGAGGAAACACCTCCATGATATGGGGCTAGTGGACACACCTCTATGCAGAATGTGTTAACAGAAAGATGAAACTGTCAGGCATGTCCTATGCGAGTGCCCGGAGATATCGTTAACAAGAGAGTGTGTGTTCGGCGAGTCTTGGCCTACACCTGCCGATATAAAGGAGATGTCCCCCAGTGATCTGGCCACCTTCCTGGGAAGGACAGGATGGACGATGGTCTAGGAGGGCAACACCTCTGGAGGATGTACAATTGGTCACATGTGACTTAAGTGCTGTGGGCTTACACTCACCCTCCCTACTCTACAGATATCAACTCAAGTTGGGCTTGACTTAAAAAAAAATATTTTTTGACTCCATGTTGTACGGCAATTGTTTGGAATTCCAGAAACTTCACATACAGGGTTTGAAACTACTACTTTTGCATCTATCTAGAAATTAGAGGCTGTATTGAAAAAAAATTAGCCAACTATAATAGAGGTTGAAAAAACTTAAAAAACAAAGTACTTTTTGTACAACATACTCCTCTCAGTTGGATACATTTATTACAGGGAACTTGCAATGCATCTAGACATTTCAAAAAATTTGGGTCACTCTGAAAACCAGGCTTCCATAACTCCCATCATCCCTCTTTGAAAGTAGACTTTTTCAGTTGAGGAAAGAAATTATAGTCAAACACAGCCAGACCTGATGAATAATGGTGGATTTGAGGTGCTGTTTTTCTTCACAATTTTTTCTTATGGTGTGGTAAGTAATGTCAAACAATAATTCTCAATTGTTGCTCTTTTCTTTTCTAGAAACTCCATAGAGGATATCCTTGAAAATCCAGAAACAACTGAACCGGAACCTTCAGCAAACTCTGGTTTGACTTTCTTCCTCATCCCCCACAATGTTGTTGTCTAATTGTGGTGAAGTATAAAGTCACATCGATAATAAGATATTCATAGTTCATATAGTTCAACCAGATATCGATGCATTCTTGTATTCCTTACAAATTCCGATGTAACAAACCTGAGCATAATTTCAAATGTATTTCAAAGGAAAATTCAATGGTACACAAAAGGACGAACGATCAAAGGCGTCAAACAATCGACTAACGGTAGCACCGTCTTCAATTCTAACGTCTAGACGATGACACAGCACTTAATCGGTTTCAGTTTGTATGTATATAAACCCCCGTTAGTGCAACTACCTAAATTTATCCCCTGTTGAATATTCGAGCGATTTTGTCCTGGGTAAATGTTTGGCAAAAGGGGTGAAATC